CATGGCTCTGGTTCCTTGGGTGAGAGCATGTGAGTGTCTCCCGTGGGGCAGCAACCCCTTGTAGAGGGTGTTGGGGCACCTCATGCTCGTGACCCCCACCCCACTGAGCTTCCTGTGGCCCAGAATCCTCTGTCTGTCTCCAGGGCTGTCTCTTCCACCGAAAGCCTGTGGCAGCTCTCATGTCAGCTGAATGGACTTCCAGCAGAGGTGCCCTGGGGACGGGGCCCAGAGGGGTTGTGGGGAAGGTTTGATAGGAAGACACTGAGTGAGAGGTTCCCAAGGGGGGCGGCGTCCTGGGGCCAGCCCTCACCGCCAGGGGATGTCTGGCTGGCCGCTGCTCCTTTGGAGCAGTCAGATGAAGGGTCGGCCCGTGAGTCTGTGGTTCCATCCTGCCGCAGAAGCACGGGGTGAGGGGTCAAGGGGGAGCTCAAAACCAGGAGAAGTTGGCACAAAGGAATTTTGAGCAGAAGGGAGGCAGGAAAAGGAAATTTTGCCAGTGGATGGGGAATCTGGGGCTTAGGCCTTGAGGGGGACAGAGAGCCGCTCCATGGGCGCTCCGCCTCACTCCGAGCCTCCCTCCTGTGTCAACGGGGAGGACCAGGCGTCTGTTGTTAACACAAAGGATCTGGAGGTAAGGGACCCTGCAGGCCAGTCCCCCCCTTCTCCCAGAGTGGGGGCTGGGTGCCCTGCTGCCAGGTGAGACTGCCCAGATGCCCCTCCCAACCCTGCGGACCGCTCTCTCTCCCTGTCCCCCGCTCCTCCAACCCCTCCTCCTCTCTGCATGTGCCTCAGAGCCAGCATCAAGAACTGGCACTAGCCCTGGACTCCAGCAATCTAACAAATAACAGCTCACTAGCAAGACAGAAGAACTGGGAAGAGCCTGCTGGGGCCCCTGATTCCCAGCTGCAATCCAGGACTCCGATTTCCTCTTGGGGCCCTGAAGAGAGTGTCCGGGGGTCCTGGTGCCAGGGGAGAACGGGGTGTTGGAGGATCCAGGGCTTAGCTGGAGGGGGCCCAGAGTACAGAGCTGGCAACATGGCTCTCTTGTGGCTGCCCTCTTAGCCCCTTCTCTGCTCCCCAGACACCCCTGCTTGTGCTCACTCTCCCTGGGGGAAGCACTGGTTTGGATGGTGTGGTCCGGCCCTGACTCAGCCCCTCACTTCCTCCGCTTTCACCTTGTACAAGATACTTCTTCGCCCTGGCTTTAGTTCCTCCAGGAGGCAGACGTAGAAGGTGTCAAGGTCTCCGGTAGCTCAAATAATCCCAGGTCCTTTTCCTTCCTCCCCCTCTTCCTGTGCACACAACCAGCCTGCAGTTTGTGTTGCCTCAGTCTCTGTCGGGTGAACGGACAGACCCTGCCAGGTCACCTGCCGGCAGAAGGGTCGTCTTCCCTTCTCAGACTCTGCCTGGGGCTCAGGGTGTTGTCCTCCAGGGGAGCCAGGTGCAGACTCTCCCCTCTGTCGCTGAGAGCAGCACCCCCCAAGACCCAAGGTCTGTCTCCTGGGGAGCGTGAGGAGGGTCTGGCAGCTCGTGTATGAGAACTTCAAACCCATCGCTGGCCCTGCACATGTCACCTCTCTGGTCTGAGAAGACGGAAAAGGGGGACACTCAGTTCCCTTCCTTTGACTTTTCCCCACAGAAACAACAGAACCAGGAAACTTTGGATCAGCTGGAAAAAGTAACATGTCCTTGTTCATTCCCTGACGTGGGGGTCTGGAGAGGCTGATGTGGGGTGTCTGGGCTTGCCTGCTTCCAGCCTGGAGACACGCAGGGCCCCTGGCTTCTCTCCTGCCCCTTCCTCCACCCCCATGGTCTGGGCTCGCCGGTGGGCCCGCCTGGGCCGCTGGTGGCCCGCGGGGCTGTGCCTTGCCTCTGTCTCCTGGAGACCCTGATTCCCTTTGCAGGAGAAGAAAGACCACAAGCAGAAGCTGGTGAGGGAGTAAGGTGCGCTCTGGGAGCAGTTACAGGTGAGGGGCAGCCCGGGTTCCCCATCCCTGGAGGAAATGCCTCTTTTCTGCCTCATCCCAACTCATTTGCTTTGTTTCCCGAAGAGTCACATCCAGACCATCGGGGTTCTGGTGTCTGAGAAGACGGAACTGAGGGCTGCGCTGGCCCACACTCAGCAGGCAGCCAGGCAGAAAGCAGGGGGGCTCCAGGCGCCCTTCATCCATGCACCAGGCGTGCAGCAGGCCCACGGGCCGGGGGTGCTCCTCCTCAGGGCTGTGCTCTGACCTGTCTCATGGCAGGCGAGTCGGAGGAACTGGCTGGTCGCCTCCAGTCTGCGTGTCTGCGTGTTGGAGAGCTGGAGTGCATGCTCTCTGCCATCTCCACCCGTCGCAGACAGACTGACCAGGTGAGCACTGCCGCCTGCCCAGCCCCTGGTGGGGCACCCCCCCATCAAGGCGGGGGCGAGCCTCAAGGTCCCTGATGTGGGATGGAGCTCTCTCCGCCCAGAAGGTAGCACAGCCAGCTGTTCGAAGGCTGTGGTCAGCTGTGGCCTGAGGGAGGTGGCCGCTGTGGGCCTCGTCCTTCGCTCCCGAGCTCCTAGTGAAGGCAGATGAGAAAGGGGCTCGGAAATGCTTTGGAAAAGGTGAAGTGTGACTCCGGGCGAGGAGGGCTGCTCTGTGCTGGTCCCTGTCTAGTAACGAGTCTGCAGGCTGCATCCCTGCCCACAAATCCTGACCTCGCATTTGCCTCTCATGTCTGCAGCACAACAAGGAGCTAATGCTCTCAAGAGAGAGATGCTCTCAAGCTGGAGTTATCTGAGAACAAGTAGGCCTGGGGCGGGTGGGGTGCTGGGGGGCAGGCTTTGGCCCAGCCCTGTGCTGGGCAGTGGGAGGGATGCAAGTGCATGGGGTGAGGAGGGCAGACAGCTCGCGACCTCTCCCTGGCCAACCTCTGGCGATGCTGAGCCTGGGGCCCTGGGTCCTGCCACTGCACTGGGGTCTGTGGCGAGGGCAGGGTAGATCTCCAGGGGGACACTTTCTGGCTCTGGTTATGCCTCTCCCCTTTGCGTGGCCCTAGCAAAGCCAATGAGGACCTGCAGCAGTGCCACTCGAGCTGGAGGAGCGGCTCCGGCTCTTG